TAACACAATTACTTGGGGACCACAGGTTTTTTTCTGAGAGTTGGTAGTAGTGTAATAAGGACACTCATTCAATTTAAGCTCCTGTGGTACTTGTCCATAACCAGACTGCTGGGTACAGTTCTTATTTTTTAGGAATTGCATGCTTGTACCAAAAATTTCTCACTGGAGCTTTATTCAGATCACTGCGTTAATGTCACATCATCATGAACAGAGCTGTCACACGAAGATGAAAGCCCTTCTGCAGGTAACTCCTATTAAATTTTACTGTCAGCATTTCTTATGACATACTAAGCTGGCAGGATGCTGAGAAGCTGTGGTCTTGAATGGTGAGCCTCTTCAAAATACTTAAATGGTGGAACATACGAATACATCTGGTTAACATGATACGTTACTAACTGCATTGACTGGAGGGGACACCCAATGTTGTGCAGCTGATGGATTAATGTAAAAATCAATGACCTGAAGAACTTTAAACAAACAGAATCAGCCATGATTGTATTTGTTCTAAGCTTAGAAGCACATACTTAATTTATCACATTTGTAATTAAAGTTAATATTATCCAGGTGCTAAGCTATTTAATATCACTTGTTCCTTGCTGAAACCTCAAAGCTGCTTCTTTTCTGAAGCCTGTGAACTGTATTTGGTAGTGCAAAGATGGGAATTCTGTGATCCCACTTGCTTAAACTATTTAATAACCTGCCTACATTTTCCACACATCAAATAAATGAAGTGGAATACAAAATGTAACATCTGTTTCTTTCTCTGTTTAACATTAGAGGGTTAGATTCTAAACAAATACATTTAGGAAGTCTTTTTAGGAATTTGTTAGGCTGAACACAGCTAATCAAGGCAGCAAAAATCTTGTGTATTTCCAGAATGACCTCTTTGTTTGACCTGAAAATTGTGTATATTATTTTAAGTTTCTGCACATGCAAAACCTAGATGATGAAAGTCCCAGTCTTCTTTCATTTTCTCTTCTTTTTCTTTATTAGAACTTCTTAAAAAGCAAATACATGTTTGGGAAACGCAGCACATAAAAGGTTTCAGAGAAATGCTTTTAACACAAATAAATGCTCCTCAGCAGTCAACACCTCAGAAGTGAAGGTGTGAAACATCCCCATGAGTTCACCAGAGTTACATTTGGATTAAGTATTAATTCACCAACTTCACCTAATTTCTAGTTGATTAATCCATAATAAATTAGGTAGATTCATTAATCAGTCTATTGCTGAATATTGGACTTAATAAAGTATTAGCCAAAAGTTGCAGCGCTCAGACTACAAACTATTTTTTCTTTCTTCATTTTCACAACTGGCAGAAGAACAAGGCTTTAAAGACTAATGAATATAACTAAGAAAATATTTCATTTATTTTGTATGTATTGAATAGTTTAACAAAATGAGGGAAGATGAACATTCTTACTGACGGACACAAGGATAGCCTTCATTTCATCAGATGTAATTTCTCAAAGCAAGTATTTTTTCAAATTTTCACTTTTTTGGTTACCTTACTCCAGAATACAGAAGTACAATTACTTTTTACTTTCCAATGCATAATACGTTTTGGAATATAGTTGCATACTGATGTAGAAGATATTTCTTCTGGAGAGTTTGATGGAAAACAAATTAAATAAAAGAGCTGACAGTCTGGGGAGAAATGGTCAAATCCCAGACTGATACTGCTTCCCAGCAGACTGCAGAGCTAGACCTGGCACAAAACCTACGGCCATTTGAACACAGCACACTGGCCAGAGTTCATTGACCCATTCTCGCAGTCCCATCAATATAACAGGACGTGGTTCCACTTGCCTGCCTAGACCACTTGGCAGGAATAAACCACTTGAAACTTTTCCTTCTTTTTAATTACTTTTGCTGCCTCTCTCCAAAGAGATTCCACAGACCAGTAACTATTCCTCCCAAAACTGCTGGTCTGCAGTCTCCCAAGAAAAAATCCTGCCACTGCCTTCCTCGTGATGTTAGGAACATCCCTCAGAGATGAGACGTGCTTATGATGCTAGGGCCACACGAGCATGCCAGAGCCCCACCTGCTACCCTCTGCATATCTGGTCCCTGAAATACTCCGAGAGGCAACGCCACGTTGGAAATGTATTTTTTTCTTTTACTGTCTCCTGCGTCACAGTGTCTCTATCCTCAAAAATAAATTCCCAGTATTCAGTAATGTCTCCAGCTCATGTTTTCTGAACTACATCTGTCAAGTCCCAGTCACTAACTCCAAGCATTTTTAATCATCTTTTCCATTGATTTTTTCCTCTGCTGTCAGGAAAACGACACTTCTCCTCTCTGGATCATGACGACTTCTTCAACATAATTTGAAAAGCAGTAGCAGCAAAGAAACCTACTGCAGTAGCAGCCAGCTGCTTGGATATGAGATCAGATGATATTCCAGGAGCTTAGCATTGTATGCAGGTTTTCATGTGATGGACTAGGAAGTCAGCACGTTTTTTTCCAGAATTAGTTGTCTATTATCAGCGCTGCTAACACAGATCAGCGCTTCAAAAGATGCAACAAAAGACAAACAAGGACTGAACGAATGTTTTAGAGACTCAAAACAGGCAACAGGACTAAATGGTTATTGTAGAAGGACACAATTGCCCACATGCATTTAAAAAAAATCTAAGGGGTTAAAAGGGAATCGTTCTAGTTAGTTAGTTACTGTTATTCAGGAAAAAAAACCCAGAAAATTTAGCACAAACACCAGAGGAAGCTTCCCGAGCATGAAATCCATGCGGTTTTGTAAACCCTCCCCGAGCATGAAATCCATGCGGTTTTGCAAACCCTCCCCCATTGTCCCTTTCTATGTCCAGTGCTTAAGTTGACACAAGACAAGAGACAAGGACACAAGACCGAACAGTACAGCTTACAGCACAATTATGTACTGGTGGAAGACATTATTAAATGGAACGATTAATGCTGTCCCAAAACTTAGTCTTGAGACTGACGATTCAACAGCACCACCTAGTTACAAAATCAGGAACAGGAACAGCTGTATCTCTTGTTCTTGCAAGTGCCAGCTCAACGTGCACTCCAGTAATGAGCTTTAGAGCTACTGCATAAACAGAGCAGTATCAACTTTTCACCCTCCTTTTCTCCGAACAATTATATAAAGACAGAGCTTATTCAAGCAGGCAAATTTTCACATCAGACACATTCATTAGAAATAGCCAACAGTGTTTCAATGATCAGTACACAGACACTACAAGCTGCACATTTATAATAAACAGTATATAATTCAGCAAGCTGGATAAAGCTGTAACCATTCCTAACAGATTATGAACAGGAAAACTAAAGGTGTTTTCCTATTTTAAGAATTCATTTCCTTCTATAATCTCAGCCTTTGCAATATGTAAAGGAATTTTCTTCCAGCCAAACAGGCCTGGATCTCAGATAGTCCCAAACTTCAGATAGGAAGATACTCCCCCAGGGGTCTGATCTGCCATCCCAACTTTCTCAGTTTGCTGGGGAAGAAATGAAAAGGCTGGTCTGTGTGGCAGAATACCACTGGGCACAAAAACATATGGGAGTATTTCTATTTAAGAGGAGAGAATTGCTGATTTTACCCTCCCAAAATTCCAGTCCTAAAAGTTAACACTGTGTCACTTTTGCTGCAGATTGTAGAGGCAATTATAAAGTCATGCACGCTCTAGACAAAACTGGGGTTTTAAAACAGTCTACTGTCTACCATGGCTTTAGTCCCTCAGGGACACTTTTCTTTCTGCTGTACGCTTTGCTCATAACCTATCATATTATCATTACTCATTGCCAAATTACTATATTTGATAAAGCCAAACAAGGCAGTCAAGTGTTCAAGGCTTCAAAAGTCACTACTGATTTCAGACAGCTATTTGAAAGAGCTTGATGCTATGTGAAAAGCTGGACTCTTGAGGTCTGAGTTGCAGCATCTTAAAACAGTATGCCAAACTATAGATTATTGCTGAAAAAGAATATAGGTAGTAAAAACCTACAATACTGAATAAACATTAAAAAAATGAGAAGATGTGATTGGAATTGAAGATTTAAGAGTTCATGAAAAGCACTCGCCTTTCCAAAACATTACGTACCTGTCTGGATTTTCATAACAGCACTCTGCACTGTATTCCTCAGTGCCTCCTCACCAGCACATCAAACTAGATCAGTGATTTAGAATCTTTCCAAAGGGCCAATGGATCAGAAAAGTCCATCTAAATGCTCTGCCTTTTGCTGCTTCTTGTGAATGAGCTTTGCAAGGCTGAAAAAGCAAGAGCTCTCCAGTTGTAACAGGAAGACACTGAAATCAGGGGGGTTCAACCTTTTGTTTTTGGTTTGTGATCACTGTTAGACCCTTTCTAGACCTTTTATAAGCTGTCAAAACCAAAAAAAACCACCAATGAAAATGCCAGCAACAACAAAAACCACTTTTCCTTTTCCCAGCTACTGATTGTGGAAAAAATCAAATCAAATCAAGTCACTTCATAGATTCAGACCTGAATGCTGGGGTATGCGAGAATGTTACTAGGGAAACATTTGGTGATACGAAAATACTTTAGGTGGTTAACTGCACCAGAGATTCCATTTTTTTTAGACAATGAAAATGATTGCTGGGCAACAGGATACTGCTCTTCAAATGCCCAGAGGACAGCTAAGACTGAAACAATAATGGTGCAGCTGTACAAATGTACAGTGTGCCCTACTACATCTAGGGCAAGGCTGAAATCAGCAGACTTTGTTCTGGAAAACAGAAGAATAGGATATAGAAGGCTCCCTGAAAAATTGTACTGAAATACTGAAAAAAACCCCAAACCACAAAAATTAAAGGTGAGAAAGAGAGAGCACTACACTGAGAAGGTAACAATATCTGACAGACTAACGGAGAGAAAAAGCAGCATAACACATCAAGAAGGAAAGCTTGATCATAAATGAAAAAAACACATTTAAGGCAGAGAAAAAGGTCATGATTACAATATTTAATATTCACAGTTCTTTGAAGGCCATTACCATCTTACCCTCTCTGTCATCTTTGATGATTTCTGTGATGCCTCATAATCTTTCTTTGTTTCTAGGATTCTTTTTACAAGCGCACCTGTTGAAAAATCAGTATATTTCTCAGCCCTGGTTGGCACTAAAATGTTATTTTAAACATTCAGACAATGAAATCAAAACCAACTGCTTTTTTTTTTTTTAATGTAAACAATTTTTAGAGCAACATGACAGCATTCTATTATGTATTTTAATTACCAAGATACAAGGTATTTGTTATTTGATCTATTTTCTCTAGTGTCCTCTAAATGAAACTGTATCATCAGTAGCATTTATTGAATGACTCTTGGTACAGAACCAGATCCTTGAGCTGTATTAACACAAAGGCTTTTCCTTTGCACCCCTCTTTTGGAAGAATTCAAGAACTGCACATGATACTCGGCCCTGGTGAGGCCGCACCTCGAATACTGTGTTCAGTTTTGGGTCCCTCACTACAAGAAGGACACTGAGGAGCTGGAGCGTGTCCAGAGAAGGGCAGTGAAGCTGGTGAAGGGCCTGGAGCACAAGTCTGATGAGGAGCGGCTGAGGGAACTGGGGCTGTTTAGCCTGGAGAAGACGAGGCTGAGGGGAGACCTCATCGCGCTCTACAACTACCTGAAAGGAGGTTGTAGCGAGGTGGGGGTTGGTCTCTTCTCCCAAGTAACCAGCGATAGGACGAGAGGAAATGGCCTCAAGTTGCACCAAGGGAGGTTTAGACTGGACATTAGGAAAAACTTCTTTACTGAAAGAGTGGTCAGGCCTTGGAACAGGCTGCCCAGGGAAGGAACAGGCTGCCCAGGGAAGTGGTAGAGTCACCATCCCTGGAGGTATTTAAGACGTGTAGATGAGGCGCTTAGGGACATGGTTTAGTGGGCATGGTGGTGTTGGGTTAACGGTTGGACTTGATGATCTTAGAGGTCTTTTCCAACCTTAATGATTCTATGATTCTATGATTCTATAGGTATATAGATAGATACATATATTCCTTTGCTAGGAATTTTTGAATGCAGATAAGTGTATCTGCCTAAATCACATCCAGTGTAACCACAATGGAAGCCCCTGAATCAGAGATCTGAGGTCATGAGTAAGCATAAATGTTGTTAAGAACCAGTCCGTCAACTTTCCTAAAAGCTTTTCTATAATTTGCCTTGAACAGCCAATACCATCTCCTATCCCAGAGCTGATAAGCTGTACCTGACACTCTAAGAAACATTAATTTACGACTTTTACGCAGAATTCTAAATCCTGCTGACATTAAAGATGTATAGAAACTCTGTACTTAACATCAGTTGCAAATCCAGCTGCCCAACTAAACAAGACTGCATTTGATACATAATTTCTGTTTTTCTTGCAAAGGTTGCAAGCTCCTACCCTCAGGAGGTATTCTCTCGCTTTATTCAGCATTTTAAGTGTTCAGCATTTGGTTTAAACCCATGGGTTTATTCTATATATATAAAAATATATGTAAAAGCAAACATACCATGCTTTTCATCCTCAGCCAGCTCCCCTTCTGGCTCCTACACAGGCAGGAAGAGAGCTTTAGTTGCAATAAGTTGGCACTGCTATAATATACAACTATTCAAAAATATTCAGCTAGAAGCTACTTAAACAATTAAGTTACAAACAAAGTGTGGAAAAAGGTTCTAAAATTTGCAAAATTAACAGACCGTTTCTATCTCTGGCATTTCTGGCAGTGGCAGTGCTGCCTCCACCACAAACTGATCATCATCATCAGAAATCTGCTGGTCTATGATCACATTTGAGACTGTTTTACCACTACCACTCCTGAAAGAGACACAACAAAATGAAAACTTATTAAGATCTGTCCAAACCTATTGAGATCGATCTAGAAGAGACAGCAGTTCCCTCCCTTCCTCCCTCCCTCCCTCCCTCCCATAAAATAAAGCAGCGCCAACTATGAGCACATCAAATTGTCGTTTCCATCCACAGCCCAACTCTGAAAACAGCCATCCTTCTCTCACAAAAGGACGTATATTTTCCTCCTAAACACACTGCTTTAGTGATTGGCACTTATCAGAGATCACCTGTAAGCCATTTTGGCCGTAGTTTCAAATGGCTGTTTCAGCCTTTTTTGAGCATGGGATATTCACTGCGTGTTTCATAGATACACTCTAGTGGTAGTTTAGATTAACGTTCTAGGGTTATCTATTTCAGAGTTCCCAAAAGAAAAAAAAAAAAAAAAATCATATTTTTGAACTTCCAGATGTGACTACCAACTATAACTTTTAGATAATGCACTGGATTTGCAGAAACAATAGAATAAATAAAGCAGGCTTGACTTTTCGAGTCTGAATCAATGAGCAGTGAGGTGATCCATCCTAAACCTGTTGAGCAGCAGGTGAGGCACAGAAGATCTGAGAATACTGTGGCACGAGCGCTAGAAACATCTGCTCTGCATCTCCCACATTCCATACCTTTCTGGGAGTAAGACCTCTGCACTTTCTTGACGTTTTACTCGGGGCGGTGCTGGTCTTGCACTGCTAGGACGGGGAATGTGTCTGCAATAACAAAGAGGCTTTTTCATTTATACTATACAAGGAAGCCTCGTGTCCTCCAAAGGAACAGACATGCACACACACATAAGCTGAGTAAATTAGCTGATACATAAAAACACTGAAAACATCCCCAGTATACAATCCAATATCGCAATACTTGCTATTCTAGTAGGAGTCTACAAAAATCTAGAAAATGTGTCCTAAATCAAAAAATTATGATTCCCTGTAGAACCACCTCTTGATTTGTCTCACTAAAAAATAACCTGTATACAGCACAGTTACTTACCATTAACAACAAATTTATCATTAACAGTACACACTGCAATGTAAATGGAAAAAAATTATTTTCACAAGTGATACAATTACACAAGCCTTCACTGGGCAAAGAAAAAGTAAATTGGGATTTAAAAGGCAAGTTCATCTTGTCCGTAACACCATACTTATGAAAGTCATGTATGTAATGCAATGTTCTTATTAGACTTTCCACACATCCCTCATATTTTAATAACATTACATCGAAGTACTTTATGGATTAAGAAAATAAGCCCAAAACACTTCACAAGGTTAAAGTTTTCTTTATAGAAGGACATGAAAGTGAATAAATGGAACCATACATGGGATAATATTTATTATTTGGTATCACTAGCAGAAACATACTGCTCCAAGTTTCCTTGTGTTTTAAAATGGACTGTATTACCTCCAGACACATCATAGTTTGATTCAAACAGAGTAAAGGATAGGAACAAACCTTTGGATAGGCTGAGGTGGAAGACCATTGGGTACTTCACCATTTTCAGATACTGCAGGCTTTTCAGGAGCCACATTCTCTGCTTCTCCTTCTATTAAATGAAACAAACATACAATTTTGGCTTAGCTGGCAAGGCAAATCTAACTTTTCTTACGACAGCATTTTGAATCTTATCAGCTCTGTACTTGAATGTGTGCTCATGAAATACATCACATGACACACTTTTTAAATTAGAAATAAAATTCTATAAGCTTATATAAAAGTTAAATATCTTGTGAACTTCCAGTTTTTAAACATCTCAGAGCATTCACAATTCAAAAGGGACACTGAAAAAACATTTAAACTTCCTTTATTTTTTATTTATTTCTTAATATTGTGAAATTCCCTCATCTATGAAAATGACATCATCTCACTCAATTCTTCCACAGTTGCATGGTAACATTTGCAATGTTTCAAGTTGCTCATTATACAAAATCATAAGAGGAAAAACCGTATTTAAAAGAACTATATTCTCTATGCTGGGGTTTTTTTAACCCTTTCTTTTGTTTACCTTAACTTCTTATTTTCCTCTACTGGTATTCTTAGTTGACCCAGATTTGAGCAGGGGTTTGGACTGGCTGACCTCCATCTGTCCGTCCCTTTCAACATCAAGGATTCTATGATTCGAGGATGAGGGCTGCTTCTGTAATTCCACCATAGTTATGCTCTCCATAGAGTTGACCCCATTTGCAATTTAAATTGGACAGAACCAGTTTAACCACTCCTTCCCAGTTGATAGGTTTCCCGCAGAGTTACTCTGACCAGTCCAGTGCAGTTAGTGGCATGAACCTACAGCGGTCAAGCTGAGGTTAGACCATTCGCTATAATGGCAGAGAACAAGAAGAACGACATCTTTGCCTTGACAATCTAACTGTGCAGGATTAAGGACATCATTCACCACTTTCTGCTTTAGCATTTCTACAAATAATTTTTGGTAGGTAAAAAGCATTCGATGTTCTTGGACTCCAACTGGAAAGCTTGCTCAGCTGAATAATCTGTTGGTAAGTATTTCTTCCATGTAATGCCAGACACAGAAAGGACTCTTCTAACACTATTGTCCCCTTCAGTGTCCCTCTGCTCTGAAATCACCAACAAATGGAACCATTGAAAGAAAAAAGGCCAAGGCAGCTGGGCTTTTACCAGCTCAAATTTAGGCGAAGAAATGCAGGTATCTTTCCCAGGGTCTACTGCATTCCACTTTCCTAATGAGTTTGTGCATATTCTCTGAACAGCCATTTCACAGGTAGGACCTTCTCATTTAAAACTGCTGAACAGTACATATACTACATTTTTATACAGTGTATTAATTCTACATATGGTCCACTGGAGAACATAAGGAAGCTATGTAAATACACTTAACAACCGTAAGTGCTATGTTAAGTTTTCTCTCAGCCTTACTGGCACATGAACAACCACCGTGCATCAACCAATCCTAGAGTCGTTGGCACACAAGCTGGAGTGGTCCCTATGTTAAGACCAAGCCAGGCCCAAGTCAGAAAGTTTTGCTCCGTTGCTGGCTGTACCATGAGCTTCTTGCACTTCCCTGGGTACCTGGGTACCCAACGGATGCGATAGGGCTTTCAAAATTCCCCTTCCACACAGCGAAAGGCATTTTCCCACATGATGGAGATCACAAAAGTATGGAGAAATAAAAAACAGAGGTCTGCTCCTTAATAAAATATTTGATTTTGCTTAAAGGCTCTGCTTGGAGCCTGCACATGCAATCACAGGAGCTGAGACAGCCCACTGGTGACCGTGGGTACCCCGGGTAAGTCAGACCAGACAAAGAACTCTTTGGCAGCCTTCATGCAGACAGGCTTGGGGAGAGGCGTGAGTGCGTCCAGGATTTTTAATTTTTTGTGTGTTACATTCAGTCTGTTAGTAGTACAGCTTTACTTCTCATACTGGAAAGCCATCGCTGAGCTTCGGCACAGCAGGTTTCTGCACGTTTGCGGGAAGCACGTACAGTCCTCCCTTACCTCTATATACACCCAGCTCCCAGGAAATACCTGCAAGAACCACTGTTTTTGTTTTCAAAGAAACAGCTACCATTAAGCAAGGAGGGCAGCCTGCTAAAGAAATTTAGCTTTTGGAGCAGTTATCGGCCATAGTCAAGGTCTCAGCTGATTTCTTGCTCTTGCTACATCCCAACATACATCACGCTGACATAACAGCTGCTCACGAGATAGAAAGTCAACAGTTGCAAAGAGTCCTGCAAGCATTCATTTACTCTGTGTGAAAAATGAGCATTCCTAAAATCTCACTTCCCTGGTTCATCCCAGCCCCCCAGCACCGGTGGAGACAGAGCAGTGACGGTATCACAGCACAGTGCTGTGACACCTGCACCGAGCAAACTAAGAGATGCTTCAGGGACCTCCTATATACCAGATTTCCAGGAGATTTCCAGATTCACTGCCTATTACTGGCCCAATTATGCAGTTATTTGAGGAAAGGTTTTGTGGATCACTTTCACCAGTGAAACTCCCAAAAAAGCTTGTTTTAGAATTTAACAAGGTTCAGAAAAACCTTACATAATCAACAGCTTCCAAAAAAGCCTCATGCAGGCCTACACTTTTATAGAGTGACCGTGAAATCCAACTGTTCCTCCCTTCTTGCCACAGTGGGTGCATTTCTGTGCACGTATCTAAAGAAAGTGGAACCTAAGTAACTTCAAGGGTGTATGAGCAAATAGCTGAGGCAGGCCAAAACACCCTTTTGCCAGAAAGCTTTAAACATATAGTTCTTATTTAAGAGGCTACCATGAACTAGCCATTGAAGATTCCTAATAGAGGACACCAAGGGAGAATTACCGATATGCTGACAAATCCTCATTTGTAAAGGGGGAAAAAAAAAACCACCCACAAGGGAAAGGTTCAGCGCCTCAATGCTCAGAAACAGAATATAAGACTGAAGCAGAACGTAGAAATAATACTCCAAAAGATCCAGGAAAATAAGTTCATTTCAGCCAGTAAACAATGTTTTTAAAATCCTATAAATAATTCTTCCTTTGGAAACTTCCATTTGCAGTTAAAGACACAAGAACACAGCAAGAAAGGATAGGTGATCAATCTTATGATTACTCCAAATAGCATCCAACTTAGCTATCTGCAATGACTGTTCTTAATTGATTGTCATAATTGATTTCACATTCCAACTGTGAAAGCTATTAAATGTGTGAATGACAATTTCCCCCCTACGAAAACGTACAGAAAATTAAGGTTCACTAATGCACTACTATGTTACACCATCTTATTAAATAAAGCTGAAAATAAAGAACAGTGAATACAATATTTGGTTCTTATACCACCTGAAAATCCAGTCCAAATCAATAATGAACCTGGGGGTACTCCTCTTACATACATTCCAATTATAAATAGAGGAATATAAAGTTATATTCCACAACAGATACATTCCAATAGACAAGACAGCTCCAACAGATTAAAAGGAATTAACGTGGAAGTTCTCCCAGTTGTGTAAGGTCACACAAATGTCTTGGCCAACCGTCTACATTTCATTAGACTGACACAGCTATGAGGCCCTGAAGGCCACAGGTGGACTGGGAAACAGCCTTTGACCTCCCACATACATGGTATCAACTCTCCCAACTAGGTCAAGCATCTGGATCTGGAGAAAACAAAAACGCAGCTTTTTGCTTAAATCTCAGTTCTTCCTCCTACATTTTGCTTCTATGGCTCCATGTATACTGTGGCTGGATACAAATACCTCAATTACAACGTATGTCTTGGGAGCTATATACAACTTGGAAAAAAAATGGAGAAATAAGAATGCAGAGATGGAATTTTCCTCTAAAATCCTGTAAAATGCAAACACTAAGTGAGACTCCCAAATACTTGTACAAAAAGGCAACGTGCAATGATTCAGTTCTTACATAGAACAAGTCACCAAGGGATTCAGGCGCAGCAGCCCTGCATTTTCCTTGGGACACTGTAAGCGCTGTCTCTTTGAAAACTTGCATAAGAGTACAGAAAGAGAAAATAAAAATAACTGGTTTATGAGGGAACGTACATTTTTCAACCCAGGACATTAATCACAAGATGTGATTAAAACACAAGGCAGCAGTTGGATTAAGTGTAAATCATCCTCCTTAAATCATTTAGCTGCATGGATTCAAGTTAGACCCCAAAGCACTCAAGTTAGACTTTCCAAGGCAGTCAAATTTTTATTCTCCCTACCTTTCTGTTTTACTGCAAGTCCTGGTTCAGCTTTCTCTTGCAGTTTAGCAGCATTGTCCTCTGAAATCCTATCTGCCATGCTCTTCGTTTCCACGGCTCCTATAACAAAAGGGTTTATAGTCAAATGAAACCAAAGATACCATAAAAACTTAAAATAAAAAGCCATGCTAAATACCTGTTACACTTACTATTTAAGGGCTATCGTAGTTTAACAAACCATCCTGAGCGTAAATAAATAACATTCAAAGTTCACAGAGACTTTTTACACGACCGCTGATTGAACTCTTTATGTTACTGCAAACTAATGGCGATTTCTTCAATTCAGAAATGATTTACAGATATTATTTATTAGCCTGATAGCTGGTGAAACAATACAATATTTACCTAATAAAGTCTAAGTAATTGCTAAAATACACAATATTGTTTCTTTACTACTTGGAATGCATAATGCACTTCAGTTTGTTTCAAAGGCTTTAGCTTTAAACACATTTCATACTAAAGCCACTAAGAAATTTCAAGCAAGAAAAGCTGATTTCTGGTAGCTGAACTCCACAACTTGATGGTAATGCCATAGAAGAGCCTGGTCCACAAATGCTGTTCACTTTTGATGCTACCTAAAACAGTTTTATTTTTGAAAAAAAATGAAAGACCATTTCATCTACCAATTACCTTAAATTAATTCCCCCAGTTACAATAGGACTATGTTGACAAAAGCAAAGTAACACACAGTGGAAGAAAGCTGAAATATTCAGGTATACATCTGATTTCTAAATTATCTGCCCAGGAAGAAGAGACATTCAGGGCAGAGGGACACAAAGGAGAAATGATTCAGCATCATTTGTACATCATTCCTGAAAATATGCCTGTACATTGATCAAAAAAAGTTAAACTATTCACACAGTTTGTCAAGATATGTACAGAATGGGTAGAATATTTAGCTTTAGTCTTATCATTAAAAATATATATATACACACACCCCTTAACTTGGAGTAGTATGTTCAGTTCTCATGCTCCTCAAAATGCAGCAGAAGCAGAATAAATTCAGAAATAGGCAAGATTACAGATACAGAAAGAGCATGCGTGTTTAGAACAGAGGTACCCAAAGCACTGCCCAGAAACCGAACACAGCACTTCCAAGTCTCCTTATCTGCAAACAAGTAACTGTAATGCAAAGGTAAAGAACAGCTTCACAGGGCCCCTACCTATAGCTAGGACACCTCACGTAACGTTTCCACCAGCAGAACAAATCAGCAATCAGTTTTGATAGCACGGGAAAAGATGTACTAAATAGAGCTCTGCCTAATGCTTGGGTTGAAACACTTCCAAAACCAGCAATGAAACTACTGCATGCAGCATAAAGCTGAAGCTTTCAGGACATACAGATCAATAGCGGAGGATCTACTCCTCCACCCATGCCACGGGAAGCATACACAAAGGTATATAGTCCATTGCAGCAGAGATACTGAGTTCTACTAGTTTAGAAGGAGATTAAGATGCAGCAGAGAAAGGTCAACCAGCACTTTAATTTACCTGTGCTAACTAAGGCAAGGATGAGTTGTCATTTGATAAAACTGAAACAAGCATTTAAACATTCATCACCAACCTATACAGCAGTGCTACAAGTTACCCATAAGGTCTGGTGCTCAGCAGAAAAGTCAAACCAACAATGGAAAGTGAAGCACTTTACTCCATCATTTTCATTTAGAAACTAATTCAGTGTCTGAAAGGAAACCTATTCAGATCTCAATCGAGAGCAACTGCAAGTTTAAAAAAAAATTACGTTCAATTTATCAATGAACTTGTAAATTAGCAAAAATGGTCTCTATTGCATGATACAAGTTTTGCTGCAAGGCATGTTGCAACTATAAAAGCAGTCATTGCCTGAGTAGTAATAAATGTAACATTAACTATATTAAAAAAAAACCCAAAACATTTGCTCCAATACCATTAGGAATTTGTTTGTAATAGAGGTGAGCAAATGTTGGTATAACTTGGTTTAATTACTAGGATAGCAAATATACCTGGTTTTGCTTAACTAGTCCTCCATTCACCACTTCAGTTTTATTTATGACAAGTTTAGTCATGACATTAGCCCTTGTGTGTTCTCCTGTTGTGCATTTATCTCCAGTTAATATTAGAAAATATAGAAAGCTCTGATCATCATCACCAGTAACTACAGAGACCAGTGTGCAACAGGCATTAGCATAGCTCCAGAAGGTTTTTACTACCTTCTAGATGACTTACTGGAGCACTTCTGAGCCTTACTCACCTATTGCAGCTCTGCTGCGTTAGAACAAAAAGAGGGCTAATGCCCTGAAGTATTTAGCACTTAGGTAAACTGAAATCTGAGTGCGCTGGCCTGATGCATCATGAAAAGAGGAGTATTTTAAAATATTTACCTTTAAGGCAAAACACAGGATAAGTCCTTAACTGTATTTCATTTATCAGAAAAACTGGATCCTGATTTTAAAGAAGGGATGATCCTACAAAATGGGGCATGTCTGGTCACTGTAGTTTAGTGCCAGTTCAGGCTATAAAACAAATATTCAAATCTTGGGAAATAAAAAATTTATAGGATCAGCTAAGGATCACAAAGTAGTAAAATACGACTACATTTAATGGAATCCAGATGGTATTTTTCATCTACAAAATTATTAAAACTTTGCAGCACATAAGTACATGAGATGTGACATAAAATTTTCAATTTTCGAGCACTACCTTGAATTGAGCTCCTAAGTCAACAGACATTCATATCCAAAGTGCCAGATCTTTCTCAGCGTATTTAAGGTGCCTAAAAATCCTTTTAATTTTTTCCCCAAGTCCTTTTGAAAACATGGCTATTGGTTGATATGAAAACACTACCCAAACTCTGATATAACTACAGTATTTTGCCTCAGAGACATGGAAACCTACTAAAACACAAACCCAAAGAAAACATGGATGCTTGCAAACACAATTTCTTTACATAGATTAAAAATAGTGACATTGGCAGATAAAGTGTATGAGGATCTTCATGCTTCATTAGTCTAAACAGTATGTCTTTAGCCAGAATTAGCTATTTCACAGGTATCAATTCACAGGTGTTATTGAATCTTCTGAACTGAGATGTTAAACTGATGTACGTACAGTGACTTCTTCATTAGAAATAAAGTATCAGCTCCTAGGGCACAAAACCATTGAAAGAAAACTTGAATCAGAGTAAATAATCAGGTCACCGAAATAGGAGTAGGAGGGAAAGGGGCACTTAAATACAGACAGAAATTGCAGTTACACTGTCGTTATACGAGCTCCAGTTAGCAGCCGGCTTTTTAACTTATCTACATGTTTCTCTAGGCTCTTCCTCTTGGCTTTCTTACACAAAGGGCTAGCAGTACTAAGTTTAGATTCCTTTCTTCCTCATGTGAAAATATTAAGTACTTGAGATATTCTGAAGAGAATCTAGTTTCCATTTAGTATGCAAATACAATATTTAATACACTTACATACAAAAGCTAGTGACATAACCAATTGCAATGAAGCACCTTAACAGATAAAATAAAATTATTTACTTATTTGTAAAGCCTGGCACAACTGCCTATTATACTCAGTTAAAACGATCTCAGGACTAAAATCTTCACTTAAATATTGTCTAAAGAAACAAAGAGAAATTACTAATGCAGGTGCAAGGCAGATGAGAAGGAACGTTTATTGATGATTGTACCATTTGTTAAATAGCTCCAGTCAACAAAGACTCAGAAGAGGTTATCATCCAATAGCTGGTAAAATGGCCTGTAATCCATACAATTAGTTTATAATCAATCCACTTCCTAATGGGCAAGCACAGATACCACAGATCTATTATCACAAGCAACAGTCTTGACAGACTTAGCACCAAAGCAAGGATGAGATCACTACAGAGCTACCTCCTCTTCTGCTGTCAAGACTAGCACCACCAGGATTCAGTCTGGAGTGCCGGTACTGCACACCCATCAGGGGTGGTGGCCACAATGCTACCAGGGGCGACTCCTGGCCGGCACAAAGAGATGGGCCTTTTACAGATTCTCACTTACTCGATAACAAATAAATATCTGGCCTTCCTTCCCCAGCACTCTCAGCAGAAATGCCACAGGGCTTGGTTCCTTACACCTGGCTGAGCTACTGGAAGATGACATGGGATAGGATTCAGTACTGATGATACCCAGATCACCTTCCCTGTTCCAACTCAAATCACAAGCTCCTAGCCTGACACCAGTCCGGGTGCAATACAGTTGACCACAGCTGTAATGACAGACATTGGAGAGAGTCAAAGATCTACAAACATATGCCATTGTTTCAATACTCAGAGGAATCTTCTCTAATCATCAAATGTTCTCCAGCTTACACTTGCAGTATTGTAAATGTCTCAAGCTATGGAAATCACTCAGAAAGGTTCGACTAGTCTTGAATTCACCCAGCCATCTTTTCACTGAAGAAACTCCAGAAAGTTTACACGAATGTGGATGGTTTGATGTACTGCTTATCAAACAAATACCCATGGAAAGTTCTTTTTGCACTGGCCAGTACTCGGTTAATCTCAGGGAACATGCGTTTTGTTTTGTTGGTTGGGTTTTTTTCACAAATATGATCTTGTCATTTATAAACACAAAATTTCTAAAGACCAAACACTAAGACTTCAGATCCTTGAGAAACAATTGAAAAATTCAGAAAATAAATGAAGTTTGGATTCCCTAGCCAAATTTAGGAAGAGCACTCTTCCTAAATATTAGTAAGTGATGAAGTTACAAATTCAGGGTTCATGGCTGTATGATTTATCCCTGAAGGAAAGCACATCTTGCCTCACAAATGTCTTTCATCTTACTAAAACAACCTTGAACAACAGATCTTAAGTCTTACTAAAACAAAAATACTGCTCTGCTGTAAACATTTAACAAACCTTTACATGTGACTTTATGTAAAGGTAACGTGCAATAATTTTATCAGCTCAGATATACTGTCCACTAATCCTCAGTGATGGGAAAAAGAAAAGCCTCCCAAAGTTTTAGAAGGCATATTTGTCTGAACTTGCTAGATTGTGAAGCCAAGAAACAATTTTGTGAAACCAATAGAAAAAGAAATAGTTGTAGATCAACTAAAAAAGCCCATTCAGAGAGAACACAATAAATATCAAGAGCAGGCTGAATTTATATCTGCAATTGTGCATGAGGAATGCGAGCAAACTAAACTGAGTACCACTTTCTATGTATCAACTCCATGCAGAAAAATTGCCTATTGGATTCATAAATGCAGACTGGGCGTATAAAATAAGCACTGAAAATAATAAACACGGATATTTAAGTATTTATGCTATTCCTATTCAATAACCCTCCAGCATATTTAATAGAAAAAATATCCTCCCTCTAGTTACCTTCTCCTCCAGGTCTGGCACGTTGCCTTGATCCTTTTGTTGAAGGCTGCCTTGATATTCCTGCAGGACTTTCACTCTTTAAAAAAAAAAAAAAGCCCACAAATTTATATAATTGTATATTAAAAAAATGATATATTTATATATAAAATTTACTTACATACATTGCTTTTTTATCTATATGTATTATACATAAAAAATATTCACTTACGAAACTGACCCACACATATAAGATTAAGAATATGTCAAGTCTATTTTCCTCAAACTCTGCAGGTATTTTTCCTGGATACATGCTAGCTCTTTTCTTTTAAATGAACATATATGATTAGATTTCATTATTGTAAAGACAGCTTCCAAATGTGAACTAAGAGTATCTAAGGCAGAGCAATCTTGTGAAACCTGTAGAGCATCTATGATGCCACTGCTGGTCTTGGGACACAATGCTTAGCTACCAGTGAGCTACCGAAAGCAGTAAGATGCTTACAGTCACCTATGTGTTCCTCTTTAACCTTCTGGGAAGTCTTTCAAATTTCATTCCAAAATAGAAGCAAAGACTAAAAAACTGTGCCACTAGACTTGCATAGTCCTTTACTCAAATGGCAACCTTCCTGGACAAAGACCCTGGACAAACTAAGAAATAGGTCCTGCCAGAAAGTCCAGCAAACAAGCAATGGATGATCTGAAGGTGCAACTGGTACAGGAGGGAGGCTAAGAGTTCAAAAGTGGAAAAGATCAAACTGAAGGAAAATCCAGGACACCTCTGAGGACTCTGACCTTAGTCCAAAAGTGATTCAGAGAGACCAGGAAATGAAAGCAGGCAAGCACACACAAGAATTATTTTGTTTTCTCTGGATATAGCTTGCACTGCCTGAAGTCAAGAACACCTGACCGACAATACTTTTGCAAAGGCACTATGTTGCAGAGGGTGAGAGCTGCCACTGCTATAGGTAGGGTATACTACATATTTTCTGCTACCTGAAGCACAGCCGGGGCCCCAATGCCTCCAGAGAAGGTGCAAAGTGTAAAGAAGGACTCCTGCCAGCCCAGCAAAACTCCTGGGTATGGGATCAGGGTGGGAAGGAGGCAGTCCATTCCTTACATCAATCTTGGCTCGCAGAAGGGGCAGACTTCTGCTTACATGTAGACTGGAGGATGGAGCCAGCGATGGGATCTGGCCCACTATGCACACATGCAGGGCTTCCTGCTTCTTACAGAAGAGTACATACTAATAAACCAGTAGCTTCCAACAAGCCATTCATGCTTCTAATAACTTTCCTGTCCTTTCACCTAACTCCCTGATTTCATTAGCAATATTTGCTGCTAAAGAGGAAGCAACCACCTCCGAACACAGGTTCAGATGTAGTACAGGTGATTTATAGAATACCGTTTTATGTTTCTATGCTTTCTATCCCTGTAATACATCTCTGCATCTTATTCAAAATCCTGAAATATGTTTAGCACCTCACAGGATTTCCTCCTTATCTGCTTTTTTGTAGTTTGTGTGAATTAACAATCCATGCAGTTTACATCCAAGATTTATTGCCAGCCCTGCTGATAATGTCCATCTTGATAACGTAAATGAGAACTACAAATTCTTCCATTTCTATGCAAATGTTAACATTATATGTTCCTATAACCTGTAAGAGAAAACTGTCAAATTACACAAAATAAAACATTCATTTTCCATAGTATCTTCCATATAGGACAATGGACTATACATGTCGTAATGGAAAATAACACTACAAGATGTTTAAAAATATAGGATACTGATAAGTATTTTTACTCAAACTACTTTAGGTGACCACACAAGAGAAACATCCCACCTCTACAAGCTTACAACAATGTACCCACTGGCCCTGGAGACACAGATACATGAAGGAGGGGAATGAAGCTGACACATCAGGAACATGGTGGTTAAGTTTGCTTCGAAGGCAAATGTTGCTTTTTTATATGCTATAAGGCACCACGAGCTTAACAGTTCTTGACAAACAAAGGGGAAATGCTTATTAACAACAGATAATCACAGTATGCAACTGTGATAAACTGAGAAGTTCAACTGTTTGGAGGTGCTTTATAGGAAAGTGAGCAGTCTACGCAAGAGTCACCTCCAACCGTTAGTTTAGGTCCTTTAGAAACTACGTCTCCTTCACCTCCATGATTGTAATATAACATGCATGCTCAGAATTTCAGGTATTCGATCAGCCAAAAGAAAGCCCTACATCCTACGCTTTGCAAAAATCTAGCCGAATAGATAGTACACGGTCCTGCTTTGACGTAAACTAGTTTTCACTTGCACTATCTTCACTGGATTATTAAATTATTATTTGACCCACAACCAGAGCTACCAATACTTCTGTTTCACTCTTTAGAAAGGGCTGGCACATTATAAAGAAAAACAGACAGAAGTCCAAAATGCATAGCTAATATTGAAGTGGTTAATCTTAATCTTAGTTCACCTTAATTACTACCATCTTTCACAATCACAACACTATGCAAGGAGCAAAAGTAAAGCTTAATATCATCAGAGTCTGGCCCGCAGGCCACATCTGGTACACTCAAACTTCAGCAGCTCTTGGGGTGATATAATTATTAGCACAGGTGGAAAAGAAGTTGAGAATAGGTGCTGAGGCTTCTGGAGGAGGGGATTCAGTCATTTATTTATGTCAGGTAGTGACTACAAACACCACTTAACATTTTTGTAGAGCCACATGTGCACACTGGCAACAGGTGCAAAGTAAAAGCTAAAATTTAATCGTTATGGTAGCACACAAAAACATAAATCCCACAATATTTATGGTTTGAGTCTTTCCAAAGGGAGATAAAATAGGTCATTCTTCTTCTTAAAAATTCATAGGCTCCAAGACTTTGAAAAGCAGTCACTGGAGCCATTATAAAGAAATCTTACACTTCATCTCACACCATCCTGGAAAAAACATATTAAAGTGGAATCCTAGATGGATGTATGCACACTTCCCAGTTTTGAGTAATTACATTTCTATTTGGAGAGGATACAGCAGCCTGCTGTAAACCATCCAATCTGCTGCTTTGCCCTCATTATTAACCTTTAAATAGGTTGACTTTTACTTTAAGACATAAGAAAACAATGATTTCTAATGTTTCAGCAGGTCAAGAGGAGGAATATGCTTTGAAAAGACATCCTGCCAAACTGCTAATTCCTCTCCATGCAACAACCAACTCTTATATTCATGAAAGGATGTAATGATCAGTTTCTATCAACAACTTTTATACTGCTCTCATAACTAATTCTGTACATACTTAACATACATCTCCTCTAGCCATGGCCACTCCATGCATCAACAGCCAAAGGCAGAAAAAACACTCCCACCCAAGCAAGGGAGGGGGACAACTCTTTATATAAATAGGCCACTGGGATTTTCCCCCTCTAATTCGTCAGATCCACCAATAGTTCACTAATAATAAACAAGAATTAAGTCTGTGAATAGGAATCTAACTCAATCATCCCTCCACAATGTTTTGGATGACTTCTCTTCTAATTAGATCCACAGTGCTAGGAGGTATATTTGCACATGTAATGTAAATAGTATGTATATAAATATAGAAGTTTTACATAAATAAAACTATATATACAAATACACTTTTTAATTTTGTGCAGCAGACTATTCCTCAGAAAATAAACAGCTCACTTCTAATGCTTTTACTGCAAGCTATGTATCCCTCAAAGACTTTCTTTGGTCCTTCCCTCAAACTGTCTTTATTCCCAGTATTTATTCCTAAAACAGCTATCATTATTAACAGGCATAATTTATTAGTGTGCAACAGCAACAAGGAAAGATCTCTATTTGCTAAGGTCACTTTGACTGCCGTGGTGATAAAACTTACTAGGAAAATATAGATCAATTGCCTTGTCTGCAAATGAAGGCTCACAAGGTAGTGTTCTATTGGTGTTAGCTTCTGCTAATTAAAAACTTTAAAATGCAAAAAGAACTATTAGCAAAATCCTGCTTTTTAAAATGTAAGTTTTAATGATGGATTTCTATTACACGAGCCAGTTACGAATAACTGACACCAAAAAGAGAGGGTCATTCACAGCATTGGAACAAAAATATTTGAGCCATGTCCGGCAGATTTCCATGGAACGATTCTCTCTGCTGTTTCTAGGGCAGTTATGTCTTTTTTTCATTCAGTAGTTGTTTCATTATATAGTTGAAATGAGTTCCAACAGAAATAGAAGTTCATTAGATACGACTTAAGAGGCTGATTCAAGTGACCAGTTCCAGAGCAATGCAGTTTTTAGGGCAAAAATAAATTCGTTATAGAAGTGGCCAAAAGTGACAGGATATTACAAAAAGCTTTAGCCAAGAGTTCGGCAGCCATCTGTAAAATGGAAGAGACTTTTCCAACGTGTTTGGCCTTAGGGGTAAATGACATACCTGTTCTGCAGCCACTTTCATATAAACAGCACTATACGCTCAAAAGCTCTACAACCTCAATCACCTTTTGTCAAAAGGCAAAGTTATCTTTATTATTTAGAAGGTCAATCAGTCATGCTACGAAGCATCCATTTTAAACAAGACTTGTATCCGAGATGGACTGAGAGCTAACATAATACAACTCAACTCACTCTGATCACAAACAGCATGTCATGCAACAGCTAGCCTTGAAACAACAAGTAGTCGTCTTCTTGCCATGTGTTCACCAAATGTCTCTTCTTAATTCCTACTTACACTTGCTTTCTTTTAGTTCCAGAAAATTACAGATACTCATGTGATGACTATTAGATGCTAGGTAACATACAGAGTTTCTTTAGTACCAGAAAAATACATTTTAAAAAAAAAAAAAAAAGTCAACCTGTCAAAATTCAAGTAGCATTTTAAAGCTGGCCTCTGATAATTAGCAGCAAGAAAAATTAAGACTTGCATGAATACAGATAGAATCTTATTTAGACTCCTAATCTCATAGGAGCAAAGCCAGGAATTAAGCTTTAAGTGATAGCTTTGCTGTATATGTAGAATATGAAAAAAAAAAAAAAAATTAATTTGTTCTCTAAAGTAAATGCAGCATAGAAGCCATTCAGCCTGAAATTCCACAGACATCTCAAATGAAATAAAAGTTCCCATTTCCCCCACTGTTTCCATGTTCTTATGCTGCCAAGCAGCGTGTCTGAAGAAAGGGCCTAATTCAAATACGGAAGAACCAAGATGAAAATCAAGTGGAAGACAAATAGCTTACAACGCCATGAAGCCACATAAGACTAGGCTTGGAAAGAAAAGAGAAGCTGTGGCTAGGAGCATGAGGATAAAGAGAACAGGACTAGGAGCCAGGGTAAGTGGGTAAGTGAGCACGACAGGAACAAACCAGAAAAGAAGGGGAGGTTAATCCTCAGGGCAGAAAACAGTGGGTGACATATTAGGTATTGGCATATCAGCCATTGCTTGAGAGGGGCTGCTTCAAACTGTTGCACTTGTATTATATTTACAAAAAGCTAAAGACACATACTGAAGATTTATTAATTATGCAGCAGACACTGCAAACTATGATTCAATACTCTTCACGTGCATAAAGACATAAACCATTTCCCTTCTTTTTAATACACTTGTTTCACTGCCACGTGACTTAAATGGAGTTACAGTAGTTTAAATCAGGGTAAATACCTGGAAATAAAGGCATTACCCTGCTGTGAAACTACTGTGAGGACAGGATGATCAACCCCAGTCCATTAGAATTCATTTCACGCTGGAGTTTCCTCTAAATCACTTTGTGCAGCTATCTTAGCTCTCCAGCTCTAAAAATTCATTGGGAACATTTTCATTTCATTCCTCTCTTCCACAGTCTTAAGAAGATCACCATTTGTCATGCACTGGTCTAAAGTGTGTGTTTTCATCACCTAAAAACTAAGCAGCGTCTACTGTTACGCAAGCAAGTAGAGGAAAAGCATGTCATCTAGATTTAAGGTAATAAACCCACATACCTTGGAATCACTCCCAAAAGCACTTAAGACAGGAAATGAAACTTTACTGCCCCAGTGTATTATTGTGGTGCCCAAGAGCACTACGATAGTTTGGGATGAGACTCAGAATTTCCATTAGAGACCCAATTTGCAGGAAGTTTAACTTGGCCATGAACATTTGCTTCAGGCTAAGAACTATTTTATAAGCTCTCCCTCCAAGTGCCAATAATTTAAAAAGTTTGGTTGGATTTCAGTCAAAGAATAGCTATAAATTTGTCATCTCATGTAGAAGACACGATGATGTCAGTGGCCCATAGACTTTCAACAGCGACTCCTGCTAGACTTGGGATCCTGCCTATTTTTCCCTAGCCCGAGCTGCTTTAGGTTAATTTATTGATGTCTCACTCTTTAAACATTTAGCCATATGGCTCCATAATTTCCCAAATTGCCTCAGGTCATCAAGAAGCAGCAGATGCAGACACAATGGTATCACAAGCAACAGCTACTGTTCAGAGGCAATCACTGACATGCTATTCTGTCCCACCAACATCCAGCTGCAAAACTCAGGCCCAGACACAACATTGGACTCATTTTCCAAACCAGTAACTTCTATTACAGTACAAAAAAAACCCCAACCCTAACAGCTTTCCAGGAAAGATTCAGAGGAATAAACAGAAAACTTTGAACAAATAAGTATTTTTTCTGAAGTACCCAACATATCAATACACAGAAATAAAATCTGAAAAATTAAGTAAACCAAGTAGACTTTTTTTGTCCAAGCTCAGAGAAATCTAAAAAAACCAAACCAACCAAACAAAAAAACACAACAAAAAACCCCAGAGAAGCATCTATTTTACATCCCTAAAACTTGTCATCTACCTACCTTTCAATCCTACATTCCTTTCATGCAGACTCCCAAATTATTCTAAAATGCAACACTTTCAATATTCACCTTCCCAGATCTTCTATACTACTAACCTCATTATCTGGCTGGTGCTTGCTGTCTTTAGTGGTCCTCTGCATTTTTCTAAGCGTGGATTCCTCAGAATCTGCGGACTGAAAAGAAATTAATTGCTTCAGATTCAGTGCGCTGAGAAGTGAGCTACTTACCTGAATAACGTGAAAGGGAAAACGAGCATAGAGTAGACTCGGCACATTACAACGGTATTCTTATCCATCTACGTGCCCTTTTTACCTTGCCTCCCCCGCGTACAAGATTAACCAAGCAAAATCGAGAGTTTAACATTGTTCTTTCTGAGTAAGAGCATGAAGGTAAGAATCCTTAAGGCCAGCAAACAGGTACTGACAGAAGTGCTTTCTCACATCTAACAAAATTAAACTACCTCCTAATAGAAGCACCTTTAATCCCGAATTTCTACCATGAACCAGCATGCAACAGAACAGAAAAGGAGAATAGGAAATATTTAGAGGAGGAAGAGAGAAGATAAAAAGAACAAAATGAAAGGCAATGAAGAGACGGCTCTTAAGGCAGCTTAGGACTTTACACTGAGAAGGTCTGAAGTATGGGGAAATGGTGGATGTGTTCCTTCTCAAAGATACAACATGATGTGCAGAGTCCACTGCAAACAGAGCACCCCTGCAAGAATCTAGATGGGTTCCCAACAGTTCTTTCAAGAAAAAAAAAAAATCAAGCTGGAAGCAAGCAGCTTAATCTAGAAAGCCAGGAAAAAAAAAATACAGATGTACAACTCCATCCGGTGTGTCCTGCTACAGAAGAAGTAAGCTCAAGAGAGATATTAATGACTAGTTATGGCCCAAAGGAACTCTCTTCAGCCCCATCTTCCCCAAAAGCTGCTTAAGGCTGCAACAACAGCATGCATTACTGGGAAGACACATGAGGATATAAGTACACAGTTCCAACAGTCAGGCCACCCTTCTCTGCCAAACATAATGTATTGTGATCAGGAGAATTCAGACATGCAGAATTCAGAAAAGAAACTGCTTATTAGATATTCAGGAAGCACAGTCAGATGAGTCTGATGGCTCAAGTCAAGATATACCATGACAGAGACATGAAGTTACACACATGGCTTCAGTCACACTCTTACCAGATCAAATCCACACCGACACTTTCACATCATGAGAGCAGTTGCTGTTAAAGAAAGTACTTAATTGTTAAACGAGCAGAGAATACAAACATGCAAGGTCATTATAACAAACGTTCAGTCCCTACCACAGCATGCCAAAAGTTACTGTTCTCTGAAATAAGACTTTGGTTACCTTTTTCTCTGCTTTATCCTTTCCATGTTCTCTCAAATGCTCCCCATCTTTTTCTCTGTCCCTTTGTCTATCCCTTTCCCGATCTTTTCCTCTATCTCTATCTTTGTCTCGTTCTCTGTCCCTAGCCTTATCTTTGTCTCTTCCTTTCAGTCTGTCCTTTTCTCTTCCTCCTTCATTTTTTTTCTCTCTTTCCTGTCCTTTATCACGCTCGAGATCATCTTCTTGTTCTATGTCTCCTTTTCCCTTGATTTTTTCTGTTTCTCTTCCTTGCTTGGTTGTTCTGCTTTTGTTTCTCTCCCTTTCTTGTTTTTGTCCTTTCTTAAAGGTGTCTTTTTCAGGCTCTTTGTCTTCATTATTCTTCTGTTTATCACTTTCCTTTTTTTTCTCTTCCAAATCTCCTTTGGGTTTTCTGTCTCTGCTTGAGCTTCTGTCTTTAATTTCAGTGTCTCCTGTACCCTAAAAAGAAAATAAAAACTAAAAATTAATTCCAATACATGGCAACTCTATCACGCAGTTACTTTCCACAGACAAAAATGCAAGCTAAAAAAACGCCAATAAACCATAAAGAGCCCCTGTACCCCACAAAAGTTGCAAATGTCTACCTCTTTATCTCTATGGCTTTTTTGTTCTTCTATTTTGGATTCTCTGCTTGCTTTATCTCGAGATTTAGAGGATGGCGGTTTCCCTTTAGCATCAGCTGTTTGCCCAGCTAAGATCCTTTTTACAGCAACATCACTGGACAGCTGCAAGGAATAGAAAAACATTATTGAAATGAGTAAATTATTTCATTAAATATTTCCTTTCTTCCTATCTCTGTAATCAACATGACTTGGTGGGGGTTTTTTTTTGGGGGGGGAACACGGGGGAAGGGGCAGGAAGGGGTTAAATAAAGCTTATACTTCTGCTCTTTTGGAAACATTCTTTCACAGGAATAATAATGCTCTTATATATCAAACACCTCCTTGTAATTCTTGTAATAATTTGATTATATGTGCCAGAGCTATATAAATATATGGTGCTTTTTATGTATTATAGCACAATAGCAATTCTCATTGCAACAACCTAAATATTTTTCAAAACGGTAAGGTAAATGACTGACAAATCCTTATACCACGACTGCTAGGTTGGTTAAACACTCTTAAAACCACACTACATTGTATTTGCATCCACTTTCACCTAATACTTGCTCAATCAGCAACAGTCACTAAAGAAAAGAAAATTACGTTAAGAATGACTTTCAGTAAGCTGCAGGTATAGCGTTTAAAAAGCTTCTGCATCTAGTTCATCTGTTAAGACAAGCAATTATTAATTAGATCATTTAGACAGCAAGCTAATGTCATGTTTTCATGTCCAAGTGGCAGAGTTTGATTACATTAACAAAAAAAAAAAAAAAAATCATCATGTTGCTGGGGAATTCTTCCTGAAACAGGAACAGCTTTCAGATCACTAGAACCAATATTGCCCTGGGGGTTGACTCCTGATTTTCTCCTGCTTTGTAAATGCAAAACTATGAATTTTTGTGGGTTTTCACATTCAGACACTAACTTCTGCACATTAGCAACACTTGCCTGAACTAAGTAACTCCAAGCAGTGTGCTCAGCTCAGCACTAAAAGTATCAAGCTAGTGACTGAAGGAAATCTTTTTTCTGATGCACATCAAGCTTATGTTTCACAATAAAAGCCAAGGGGCTAACTGTCTTAGCTCAAATGGGTAGACTATATCCTCTGGATATTAAATCTCATCACAACATTCTACAAAGCTGTTCCATCAAGCACATTTTCAAACTCGTCCAGTTTCTGTGCATATGTTTATCAACTCCCCCCTTCCTGATCCCAAGCAATTCATAAGGAAGAAGCTCATAGCACTCAGCTAATTAGAACAAAATAACATAAATTTAAATGAGTAGATTATCAGACAAAGATAATCCAAACTAAACTTGCAGGCAGCCTGTAAACACTGTAGTATTTCACAGTTAATTACGCACAATTTATTCACATTCATTAATTCAAGGGGTTTAGATAATACCTTTGTATTTCAAAAATCTCTGCAACACCTATAAACAAAGGATACCCATTACTTTTAATGCAACAATTATTTTAAGAATGCAACAACTATTTTAAGAACTGCCCCTGCAGTTGTTTTTGACAGGTTATCAAATTTCTCTTTTGCTGCATTTCCATGTGCAAAAAAGTGGGGGGAAAAAAAAAAGTGGCAATTGGAAAAACTACTTTCATTACAGAATTAGAGATTTGACTGAAATGTTAAAGGAGACAAAGTCAAAGGTGGCATATAATTAATGTGTCTGCATCCCAAAGTTTTAAAAGTTCTGAAGCTTCGTATTGTTCTTCAAACCAAATAAATGTTATTAAATGACCAATGAGTAAGGTGAAAAATAAAAAACAGTATACATTAAAAGCACTAAAATATCTAGAACGTATTTGAATGAGGTCCTGCCTCAAACTCTGCTAAGGATCATATACCATCTATCTGTTGTTATTAACATAAGTGGTGACCCAGCGTGTATCTTGTGTAATTAAAAATAGCAGATGAGTGTCAATAAAGTCTGTTACAAATAAGCTCTGATAATATATCACTATGTGTATAAAATATATATAGTAATGTCATACTTTATTTAAGCAACACTTCCCAATTGCTTGAAGAAATTCATTGGTTTTTTCAGGTTCGTGTCCAGCCACCACACGCGCTGGTTTTACTGACAGTGGCTCTCCTGTTACCAATACAACAGCGTCAATTGCCTTCTGAAGGAAGCTGATTTTGGCATCTTTATCCTGGTAAAAGAGCAATTAAGAAATAATACTGAGACTCCAAAACAATTCCGCACACCACCTGAAGACTAGAAAAACTCTGATGAGAGGAATAGTTGCAGAAAGCACTCATACAAGAGCAGCACGTGGTTTCTAAGGTCAGGAAAAAGGGCTGCCCCCGATTTATAGTTAGCTATTTATTTCTGATTAAGAAACGACAGCTTTGATAATGGATGAAATTGAACTGGAAAGACCAAAGTGAAGATAAAACTTTGTCTTTTCAATATGTTTGTTATTGAGCTCCAGTGCATTTTATGACTGCCTGGCAAGACCCTTGGCACTCCATTTTCAAGTACTACATGTTAAAGAAGATAAAGTTTTGTTTAAGAAATGATTGCAAGTATTACCAAAAGAATCACTAAAGAGTTAGGACTATTACAGCAGAAATTGCTCAGAAAGACAGTTCTTGCCCTGAGTATTTTTCAGCACAGAAGTCACAAAGTTATGGGACTTACATGAGTCTAAATTGAGGGACTTTCATGCTTGAATGCATACTTTACAAACCAGACTTAACAGTGAGTAAAGAAAACATAGGAAAGATGGTGGGAAAGGGATACAGGCACATATTTTTATCTCCGCAATTACCAGATGTGTTTTAGTTTTATAATTATACTTTACAAACAACTTTCCCCAAGTGCCCTTCAGTAGAGATGATGGCTTTTGGTGATTATGCAAAATCATAGGAAAAAAATAAAGACAAAATAAACCAACCCCCACCAAGTAAAATTTTATTGGAGGGTTCCTAGCCCAGAGAATGAAATCATGGTGTGAAGTCTCTGCAGCTGCAGAATACTCGGGAGGGAAAAAAAGTTTTTTATTAATAAAACATAATAAAATTCAAGGAATATTTACCAGGCTCAGCACAGAAGTCTACTCATTCATCCTTTACAGTCATGAGTGGAGATAAAGAAAGTATTTTACTAGCCTCTTAAAAAGTAAACCCATGTGAGAAGAATTCTGTATGCGTGTTTTAACAGGCATGGGTTCAAAAGAATATAAACTACAGCATTCAAACTGATAACTGAAAAGCGGACCACTGCCATTTCAGTTAATTCAGAAAAGGAGCAGTTGTAATTATCCAGTAAAACACCTGATTTTGCACTGCACTTACTGTCTGAGTATCTCAGGTGCACAGATCCAGAATGACCTCGATCTAATTTTACAGATGTACCAATACAGAGGAAAGAGACAGAAGCCAGTATTTCCTCAGCTGAGCAAGGCCAACACTCCTTACAGGGCACCTGCTAGCACTATCTATCCCTGTGGCACTGGAGCTTAATAGAGCTGTTCATATGTTATCTCAAGTCCCAGAGCCACTCTCCATAAACAAGAAGTGGGTTCTGCTGCAAGCACATGAATGATAGTTAAACGCGTGGGAAGAGAGTCTCCAGAGTCAGGGTGCTTCCCGTCTCTGACTCTTCTGAAAGGATTAAAACAAACAACTGCCACATAGCTGGGATTTTCAGATTGTCTCCATTAACATCAGGAGCACTTCACCCTCACCAGTGCTCCCTGCATTCAAAAATGAAAAAGGAAAGGAAGGAAATACTGCAACATTCTATTAAAATAGTTGTCCATCCTTCCAAGGACATATGCAATCTATTAATTTAGGGAAGGAGACAGGACACTATTCTAAACTAAACAAGTTTTCAAATAAAGATCCAAAATTTTCTCCTACATCCTCGTCATTTTCAGCAGTTATGTTATCAGTGTGTTCTGTCCATATAAGAAATCCTCAAGAACCCAATGAGAAATCTATGGCTCCTACCTGCATCAGTAAACAAAGTTCTATCAAAATAGAAACAAACATCTGAAACAGTGCTGAGAGCTTAAGAAAATATTTTCTGTTGGGTAGCTTTCAAACAAAGGCATCTCCACTATTCCAAGTGGTAAGACTTTACATATATATATAAATGTAAAGACTTTTTTGTGTATATATATAAAGCTGATGTGGAAGATTAAAAGAGCAAGTCTGATATCCAATCTTTCCATTTATAAGAGAACAACTTTTTATTAGACCAAACGAGACAAACCTTTCCGATAAGCACAGAGACAGTAATACCATCCAATGTAGCTATCCTCACACTACACATTTCCCTTACATCTCTCTTCCATTGATTACTTTGACTGTACATCCCTGAAACAAACTAGAACTCAGTGAGGTCCACGTGCATGCTCTGCAGGGCAGATTTGGTTCATGGGATGCTTCCAGCTTGCCTCCCACCTCTTTCTACACAGGAGGAGGGGACCAGCTATCCATGCAATATATGTTATCCCAACAGTGGAGACATAAAAGGTAGCACAGAAGAAACGGTGGGTACTTTAGGACCCCACTGCTATGTCCAGGTGGGAGAGGTGAGTTGAAACTAGAAACGAAGACAGTTGCTGCACGTACGTGTGCATGAATCTGCGTAGCATGTAAGGGGATGTCCAGACCAGCAGCCAGCCCCAGCCGCCACAGAGGCTGGACCACAAGCTTTGGGCCTTCCTAATTTCAGCCTATGCACCTGGTGATCTGCAATGCACAGCACAGCCAGCTCGCAAAGAGCAACTGCCAATTTTTCCCAGCCCACAGCAGGCAGACTACAGCACTGGGACTATTTCACAGTGGGTACAAACCTTTTCTTTTTTCTGAAAGCATCCTGCCCATTCCAAGTCTGTGTACCTACTGCCAGATCATCACACCAGGTGAGTATCATTCCCTAGAGTTACGTAAAGCAGATCACCCTCACACAAAAATATATATAGCTATTCACAACATGGACTCCGGCTGCTGCTCTCAGGGTCTACTTCTCTGTGGGTAGCTTTGATCTCTGCATAAAGATTACTCTCCTGATTTTCTACAACTCCAAAGGAAATTTCCAGGGAACTGGCGGATGAAGTTGCTAAGCCGCTATGCATCATATCTGAGAAGTCGTGGCAGGCCCAGTGAAGTTCTCACTGACTGGGAAAGGGGAAACATAACCCCCATTTTTAAAAAGGGAAAAAAGGAAGACCTGGGGAACTACAGGCCAGTCAGTCTCACATCTGTGCCTGGGAAGATCATGGAACAGATCCCCCTGAAAGCTACACTAAGGCGCATGGAGGACAGGGAGGTGATTCGAGACAGCCAGCATGGCTTCACCAAGGCAAGTCCTGCCTGACCTTCTACGATGGAGTGACTACATCAGTGGACCTGGGAAGGACTACAGATGTTGTCTATCCGGACCTCTGTAAGGCCTTTGACAACATCCATCTCTCTAAACTGGAGAGATATGGATTTG